ATGAAACTTTCACAGAATCTTTATTACGTATTGCCATTGTGCACCTCCTATTTTACTTTTTGATCTGACATATATTTTGGATTTTCCAGAGCAAAACATGGATACTACCAATATATTCATATGGGAGGCGGGGGGTATCATTTAGTGAGCTCATCGCTCACAGTACCTCTAGTTGTTTTTGTACCATTTTGTATATCTCTATGACGTCTTTACCATATGTGAAAATAAGAGAAATTGAAATATAGGGCGCATAAGAAAATAACTTAAAGTGACAATTAGGCGCATCTCTTCAAAAACAGACTTGTTAAATTTTCCATAGGATTTGGAACTTTTTTTATACTTATAAATGTATACATAACAAATTTCATGAGTAAATAATTCTGATTATTTCATTAAAATTAATAATTATTTATGGACATTAATATATACATCGCAACGTGTTCGAGGTTCCACATTCCATGCTACACACGCATGCGTATAGTTTTCATAAATAAAACAGCATGGTAAGAGAGGGAAGCACGGTAGGCCTGCTACATTGACAAAGCCGACTAAAACAAAACACAAAATAGGGCATAAAATTAAAAAGCAACTTTTCTGACAAAAATTTAGTTGGGAGATAAATATAATCATTGGAAGAAGAAAAAACGGGATCTCGGCGACATTCACGTCGGGCTCGCGAAGGTTCTACTCTACAGGTTTGTTGATACATGCTATCGTTTTTTGTATCTCCATGGTTTTCAAAGAAAAAAAAAAAGATCAGTGTAAACTCAACATAAAAATGCACTTACGACAGATAAAAATTATTGCCATTTGAAGTGCAAATTGTATTGGAGCTGCAGAAAGATATTTTGACATTTTGCCGCGACGACGTATGATTGGTGGATTTTCTTTTTCTGCACCCCAATATACAAAACTTCAACATTTGTACCTAATCATGTTAAATTTGTCTGAATGCAGACTAAAATGTTAACTATTGATTTACCGGAGAGTTAAGATATTTTGATTCTGAGGATTGCTTTTACCTAATATTCCATTTTTATAATTGTAAACCCCTCATTGTATGCACGTGCCATTTTAGAATTCAGATGGTACAAGTAAAAAGATCTAATTTGTACGACCCTTGATTTTCGGCAGATTCTAATTACGTTAATTTTGAAAGAGGTGCGAATATTTAATTTTCTCAAAGTGCTTACTTCAACTTTTTACCTTATTCCTGAATGATATATTGGGTAAATTTGAATGAAAAAGCACACGTTTTGCAGCCGTATTGTCGCTTTAAATATACTAAAAATTAAAAACAAAAATAGACAAAATCGGTTTAGCCAAAATCCATTTTTGGTGTAGTATTTGCATAAATTTAGTAATATTATCTTATAAACCTTACGAGGGCTATCAAAAAGTTCGTGGACTAGCGCAATAAAATAAAAACCGCTTTAGGTATAATGAATGAATTTTAAAATATTAAGTTATCATTATAACTTCTATCTATATAATAAATCACAATTCATAAATTTTATTTTTTAATAAATTAGTAATGTTTTTGTAAGCAATGGTCTGTTCATGCGGTGCAACCTCGAAAACGACATTTTTTCGACCTAATTGTAATTAAGACAAACTATTGTAATATGAACATTTAACATCCATTTAACACATCAGGTATGTGTTGGGACACTATTGTTCCATAAAAAATTAAATTTTTATCTCATTCTGAAATTTCTATGAGATTTTATCGTAGATTTTACATGGAGTATCCAAACAAATATTGCCTTGAAAAAAAAAAGTCAAAAGGGGGAGGGGTTTCCTTTTCCAACTTTCAATAACGTTTTACCCCTAGAAAAACTGGTATACACCTAAGAAATGTTTAAACTGTCTACGGAGAAATAATGTGCATCCAGATTATTCGTTTTTAATGCCAAAATAGATTCAGAGAAAAAAGGAATGCACAATTGATGTCGATTTGTAGTCAAGGTGTGGAAAATCAATCACATCAAAAAAATGACGTTGATCATGTGTTGTAGATATTGAACTCCAAAAAAGCATAATGTGCTGGCACAATCAAGCGAGGATCTCTGCTATTGTATAAATCTTATTTGTAACAGTATATGCATTGAAACCGCTGTTCATTGCAAAGTCATATAGACAAGACGGATTGAAACCCTTCCTCAGCTCAAGGGAATCTCATCAAAATAAGTGTATGAGGTAGAAGAAGCAGGCATTGAAAAACAATGACGTCGGACGTCATGAAACTAAACGGCGACAGCGCCGGGGGATGATATAATGTCGTTTTTATTTCATAATAAGTTGGGAAATAATTAACGTATCAAGCTAAAATTTTCAACATTTCTTTATTATTTGTTGTTTTAGGTACCTTCAAAATTTTGTAAGCTAAAACTACATAGTACTAATTTTAAAGCCTCTGTCCACAAACGTTTTGATATCTCCTCGTATATGGTAAATTTTATGCAAAAAGAAACCGTATCGCATGATTTGATTCAGTCATTTTTATCTTAATGTCTAAGGAAAAGGTAATGACCTTGACCTGACCTTGACTCTAATATCAAACGGTCAAAATGTATCTAACTGATACCGTCTTTTAATAATATTGTCTTCTTGATTCTGCGAAAATTTCATTAAATTTCAAATACGAGGGTTGTCCCAAAAAGTCGTAGACAGGGAAAACAGTTCTGTTTCTCTTTGCTTTATTGAATTTCTTTCCTTGTCATAGCAAAGAGTAACATTTTATGATCATGCACATCAAGTTTCATGATGATATCACATCTTATAAGAAAATTATGAAAAAATAAACATAGAATATAAGTGTACACCAGCGCACGAAAGCAAGCGTAAATTACGTCTCATAACGTCATGATCTCTGTCTGCTTCACTCGCGGGTACTGTATTAACATTCAATAATTTTTTTTAAGTGATAGACCACTCTTTATTAAGGGATATATTTTAGAAATTCACTACTGTCCGTTTGTTTTTTACTTGCTTTTCAAGCACATTCAAATTTCAGTCGAAATTTTGTCGAAAGATCGTCTTACATTGTAGGCAGCAGAGAATACAAATTGTTTGACGTCGTTCGCGGTCCAGATTGTTCCGAATTTCTGCGTTTATCACACCATACGCTTCTTCTTACATGCCGTAATTAAATATTTTCGGTACAGAAGAAAAACTCTCATTGAATATCATGCAATTTAAAAATAATGTCTTTATTAAAATCTGCTGTAAAATGTCACTTCTGTACTCTTTTTTCCCGTCTCTGATGTATATTAACCATCTCCAACACAATTTATTACAATTCCGTGCGCTGACTACGCGTTTGATGACGTCATTTTCATCATACTCAATTTCAACGATACTATGAAAATCATGACACCGATCGTCTGTTTCTAATGATATTTATATGAAATTTTGACATATAATTCAGATTTTGATTCTGGTTTCAGTTATTTCAATTTGAGTACAATGTATTACATAGTACTAAAGAAATGAAAGCAAATGTAACAGCTATATGCGTAAATTATTCCGAATTTTGTCCGTGCGCCGACAGGCCTTATCGGCTTTCATATAAATCGTCCTAATATTAATAATATGAAACATGTCTATTTAAAAATTCACAATTTTAAAGAACATTGACTATTTTATGTCTATGCAAAATTTGGTAAGTAATGGTTGCATGTTTAAAAAAATATAAACATTGTCTACGACTTTTTGGGACAACCCTCGTACAAGAAAAACATTTTTCTGTTAAAAGAATCCTACCTTAAAGAAACTTTGTTTTAATTACAAAAATATCAAAATTAAGAAATTACAGGTTAAAAAAATTAATTAAAATGTTATAGAACTGATTTTTAAAACGATTTTAACTAATAGATTGGCGTCGGAATAGTGTGTTTTTGACTCTACGATAAATTGACGCATTTTAAGATGGGGTTATAAAAATGTTAAGTAAGAAAAAAAATTAGTAAATATATACTTTTGAAATTTAATATATATAATTTTTAGGACCTCTCAATCATTTTCGTCATTTTTTGTATAAATCAATTGTAACTGTCATATTTTGTAATACGCAATAAAAATCAGGAAAATTACATTTATTTTGACATTTTGAGATGTGCGAAAAATAGGCAATTATTTTCTTACTGAATCCTATAGTATTTTGAGGCATTCCCTTATTAAGAACCTGCACGGTAGATTTTCCCTAAACTTGATATTAACACTGAAGTCAATATCCAATGTATTACATATTGAATAAGAATTAAAGAGATTCTCTATTGTAGCTTTCCTACAAGAAAACCCCAGTCGGCTCCTATAATTCAAATGCTTACTGACGTTTCTCAAACTAGTTGCTAGAGTATTATTTACAAACTTTAAACTTCTACGAAATTTTCCGATTACCCGGTCACAAGAAGAAGTGCATGACATGTCTAACCGATCTTACTGGGGATGTTTTTTCCTCCATGTAACCCGATCTCGCCTCTGACGTTTCTAGAGGTCCGTGTTTCCCCTGTTTTCCGTTTGAATATATTGTTTAAATGAACTTTGAGCTTGGATACTTTTCGTTATTCGAAAATTGTACACTCATACAGAGGTGTCAACACATACAAATGAAAGGCTTCAAATTTAGAACATTACTTGGCCCTTAGAAAATAGTGAGGAATCTTTTTCGTTGTAACGCCTGCCGTGATATAGAGCCTCGGTTTTTATGATCTCATCCCACATTCACTTTCAAGTGCCATGTTCCTGGCGATGGAATAGTTGCTTCCTTTTTTGACATGTCAGCAAAGACCGGGATTCTAGCCCACGACCCTCTGATTACAGATGTAGCGCTCTACCAACTGAGCATTCATGACTGTAAAAAATAAAAAAAAAATCTGGAAAAATGCACACAAATGTGCAAGATCAGAGAAGACTTTTCGCTGTATAAAACAAATTGAATATATATATCCATTGAAATTTTTTAAAGATTAAATATACAAGCATTTCATTTCAGATCCAGCTTGTTTACAAAATGGCGATAAAAAGACAGCGTAAGTAAAACATATTGGATTTAAAGACTTTAGAGAAAGGTGTCATAAACGTACATGTAAGATTACAAATACTAGCGATACTAAACAGAAGTATACTATTCATATTCGTCTCCCAACAATCTATTGAAATTCTCATGGACAGCAATCGCGCCCCGTTATTAGCAGACCTATTTTTGTATTTATAGGAAGCAGAAATTGATACCACAGAGTCTGACTCATGTATTTTATACTTGGATATTTTACTTGAATAAAGACGTTAATGATAGTCTAACAACCAAGCTATATGATAAACGTGATGACTTTAACTTTTCTGTCGTTAACTTCCCTTACTTATGCAGCAATAAACCTTCATCACCTGCATACGAAGTATATCTAAGTTGATTCGTTGCGCAAGAGCATGCTGTACTTATGAACAATTTCTAAAACGAGGTAAATTATTGACAAGCAAGTCGATGAAACAAAAATATCAGCATTCTCGTATAAATTATTAATTTCGTAAGTTCTATGGTCGATAAAATGACCTTGTCAGCAAATACAATTTATCAAATGCTGACTGACGTTTTTCATACCAATTGTTAGTCCATTATTTGTACACTGAATTGACGACGGATTTTCCAGTTATTTCCTGATCATAACAAGAAGCACACGGCGGGTGTGACCGATCAGCAGGGGATCATATCTTTGATCGATGTTTCGGAGGTCTGTGTTAGCTCTGCTCCTATTTTGTATTGTTTTATGGACTTTAAGATTGAATATTGTTCCTTATGTCCATATCCTTCTTGAAAAAGTATTTAATCAAATAACCCTTTAATTACATTATTTACAATTATTTCTTGATTAAAACAATGAAGCAAAAGGGAGATAACTTTTCATTATGTTTTAGAAGCTTTCGTCAATATTGAGATCGGTGATTGATGAAATTAATTTGCAATTTTCGCTTTTTAATCGGTTGTCACAACTTAATTCATTTATATCATGTATGTCAAGTTTTTATTGAATAATTCAGTGATGATATTTTATGAAATGAATAATCGATAGTTGTTTTCAGTTTCATTAAAATTTGCCATAACTTAGATCCGCAAACCTGAAACGCAGCCATACTCACGTTGATGCTATTTCATGGCTGTTTACAGAAAATTGAAGTAGACTTTTAATCTAATGTACGATACTGACTATCCGAGTGAAATCTAAAAGAAAGTATGGTGCACCCGTTTTCGAGTTTTTTTGCAAAACATATTAATTTATAAGTATAGATCCCTTCAACACCTGCATACAGAGTGTATATATTTCAGTTGATTCGATACTCAAGAGCATGCTCTACGTATGAACAGTTTCTAAAACGAGGTAAATTATGGACAAGCAAGTTGATGAAACAGGAATATCAGCATTCTTGTTACGTGTATTTGTGTTTATTTGTAAACTTCATTGACCTTTGAAACTTTTTTTTACGTTTCTTTGGTATTTTACTTACCTGCATTAGAAGAAAATACACATTTTTTTCGTTTCTGAGTGCTGTATAGCATGTGTCCGTCTACACTGATTATAAAAGATTACAATGAACAGTGACAAAATGAGCGGCTTATATACTACTAGCAACATTAGTGCACATTTTTTGAATACACATGCTCGGTTTCATTATCGGGCATTCAGGGAGAACTACTGTGAATACATATCATTGAATAAAAGAATATTCACATGTAAATATTCTACACTTTAAGTTTTCATAAAGAGAGGATAATTCAATTTTCCCAAAATTACTACAAAACGTAAATCATTCGCAGAATATAATGTGTAAAAATAAAAAAAACTGAGCAAGTGATTTGAGATAATTTGGCAATTAAAAAAACTTCAATAGCAAAAAAACTGAAAGATTCAGAAGATGACATCACAACATTTGACTCTTGATATGTCCATGACCTTTCTAGTATCTAAAGAATGGAGACTTCTTATATACAAACCAAATGTTAGCTCTCTACTATTTATCGAACAAAAGTTTCATAGTATTTAATAACAGACTGTTACGTGCTTGTTTATTGCATTTAATTAGTGCAAACACATTCTCGAAATTATTCTTTTTTTAAATCCACTAGTATTTTGTATTTTGAACAAAGTTCCAATTAATCAAGAACTGCATAAGATTAACTCCAGTATTAACATTATATCAGCCTTCGTGTTTCTGTATTCATTGCAGTAATTTCACTTCAAACGAGCAGCAGTCAGCAGGTACAATGTCCGTACTTGTTATCATCTTACCCATATTATTAATTACATTGCTTCTAATAATATTTGGAATCATCTGTCTATGGAAAAGAAGGAAAAGCAAAGGTATATATGTTGTTCGTTATCTTCACGTTTTCAAACTGACCGCTCTGTACCATTGGCTTATACATTCAGCTCTTGTTGGCTTTTGTTTGTAACAGTATAGAGTACAAGACAGTGTTATTAAATTTCAGCCCTACAATGTAATATGTGTCCTTTAAGATAAATATTTCTAAAATGATCTAGATCAATTAGTTTAATTAAAACTAGTCTTTGTATCTAGTATATAATATATTAAGGTCTAGTATTCTAGCATTTTTCATAAAGACATCTAACTAATATAACTTCTATTTTTTTTAAAGCAGAAAAGTCAAGGGAGGCTGAATGTGAAGAAAAGTTGCCATTGTTGCAAAGACATGAAATCCTTATCGGTAAATCACTTTTTTAACATCTTCTTTAAACTTTCTTAGTCTAAGAGTTTTCAAAGAAGTCGAGTCATCACGTTTAATGATTCAAGTGAGTGTTCCTTCGCAACTATATCGGACGAGTAAGGGATATTTCCATATTCCTTTTTATTAATTTTTTTAAATTTCATTTAATTATTCTTGTTACAGAATCTGAAAAAATCGAAAAGTATTTAAATGGTGATGTTTTTGTAAATACCGAGAAGTATGAAGAAGCAATCGGTGTATTCGAAACAAAAGGATGGGTCACACTTGTTGGACCCCCTGGTTCCGGTAAGACTATGACTGCCATTAAACTTGGAAGAGATAACTCCGCTTCGGGAAATAAAAGTATTCCGTTTTGTCAAAATATACATGATGTACCTAAATTCGTAAATGAAAAAGAAGAGCCTTGTATTATAATGGACAACCTTATAGAACACTCGTATATGAATCACTCCTCAAAACTGTTGCAGGACATATCCACGTTTAATGACGTATTTGATAAATATATAAAAAACGGTTTGGTACATGTAATAATCACCATTGGAAAAGAAGCATGGAATGAATTAAAAGATTTTCTTGGATCTCACATTGAACTCTTTAAATCCGGAATAGTGGAGGGAATAGGCGAGAGGTTTAATGAAGACGAAACAGAATCAATGATAGCACATCATTTAAGGATAAATAAAAATAACGAAAAAACTAGCACTGTCAACAATATTGTCATCAATATCAATGTGGATTCCATATTCTCATTGCCGATTTCTATTGACTTATTGTGCGCAAATAGAACCTTGCTTGGAGAGCAGAAAGACTCTAAACCTGTTAAATTCAAATACCGAATGGAAATGTATTTAAAAAACTGGAGAGATTCTGATGACGAAGTTGATAAGAAAAGTTTTTGTTTTGTTTTCTTTGTTGCCTTGTGTGGAGGTATTTTGTCAATGGATGATTTTGAGAGCGATTCCAAAAAGCACATTTATATCAATGTATGTAAAGCATTTAACGTGGAACCTTATGCGCGAAACGAAATTGAGAGCATGATATCGATGGAAGGAAACCGTCGTGTCCCTGGATTTCTTTATCTTATGTCAGAGACTCCTAATAGAACGTACGGTTTTCATCATGAATCTCTTCTTGACTTCTTTCTGGCCACTTTATGTAAAGATGAACACCAGCCACTTTTTATTGAAAATGCAAACATTGCATACATCATGAGGAAATGTAAACTGTCTAATTATTATTATGAGAGTTCTTTATCTTACGTACGTAAAATTCTTAAATATTGGCATCTAGAAGATAGATTAGAAATACAGGACAATCATATTGGGAAGTTGCTGGACAGAATCATCAGAGAAATTAAACAAGGAACTATGACTCTGGACTGGAAAGATCATATTTTCATGGAGCATGTATCTTTTAAAAGAGAATGGCGAAAAAAATAAAATTCTTATCTGTGTAGCTTAATGGTGATAATAGCTCCAGAAATGATATATCTGACATTAAAATATTAAGTGATTTTAACAAAGACTAATCTTAGCAAGTCTTTTCACAATCTTTCCGAAGTCTAACGGATACTAGTTTCGCCCCGTTATTTGCAGACTTGTATTTCTGTATTCTGTATATATTCGTTTTGTTAATGAAAAATGGTTATTTCAATTCTTAATCTGATACGATATTTACCAGTGAACTAAACTTGAAATAAAAGATACCACCAAAGTCTGACACAACTGTTTTATACTTTGATATTTTACTTGAAAAAGACGTTGAAGGTAGTCTAACAACTTTTTCTATGATGAACGTAATGATTTTTCAATCGCCAAACTTCTTTGATTTATATACTTGCATCATCTTCATACGGGGTTTATATCTCGGTTGATTCGATACACAAGAGCATGCTCTACGTATGAACAATGTCTAAAACGAGGTAATTTATTGACAAGCAACTTGATGAAACAAGAATATCAATAGTCTTGTTTAAAGTCATCATTCGTAAGTTCTATGGTCGATACAATGACCTTGTCAGCAAATACAATTTATCATTTAGTCAAATGCTGGATGACGTTAGTCCATTGTTTATACACTGAATTGACGACGGATTTTTTCCGTTATTTCCTGATCATGACAAGGAGCACAAAACGGCTGTGACCGGTCAGCAGGGGATCACTCCTCCATGGCACCTGTTCCAACCTCTGATGTTTTGGAGGTCCATGTTTGCTCTGCTCCTATTTTGAATTGTTTTATGGACTTTGATATTGAAAATCCGAATGTTCTATGCATGAGACTAAAATTACACTTGAAAATAGTTTAAAAGAATACAAAGTTAAGAATAGTAGACCTTATTTCAGTTTTCATGCTACGTTGAATGCTCTTGCCTGTATCTTCCTGTTTTGCTGTTGTAGTTGACATCAATGAAATAAGATATCATAAGGATACAAGACAAAAATGCTACGTATTATTGAGGTTAGAAATTTTTGTAACTGCATTCAGAAATATATTGACTCTATGCTTTTTGTTATGTGTTAAGCCATCGTGATAGTTTCCATCAGGCTACAACTCCGTAAGACACCATGAAATTTCTGTGTTTTTATTGTTCACATTTATTTTGATTACTACTAGATTACTAGATTTATAAGACTGACCACTGTTCGTTATCTTTATCTTCAAATCTTAACTTTTTAAAAAAATTGTAGTTAAAATGTTAAAACTGACGTTTTAATAAATATCAGGAAAGCGAAAAGGTATACGTTATAAATTTGGATGTATAAAATATTTAAATTTGATTTCTTTCATTATTAGATTATCTTATTATGTGTGCCGTCTTAGATAAGAAAAAATAAGACGCAATTAACTGCTTCAAGAAAGTAATAAGTTTTCTTTAAAAAGAAATTATTGATAAGTGAGATCAGTTCAATGACATATTATAATTTTGCAACAAAGCCTTTGTAAGAAATGAAATATAATTTCATTTCAATGTGCTTTGTTAATGAAATTCTTAAAGTCAACATTTTAAGTAGAACTAATACAACGATTCTTCATAGAACATATTTGTTCATTAAATTATGTAACCTAATTTATATTCAAAACGAGAAATGATTGGTATGAAGAAGTTTCAGCGGTCTGTAAAGTTCGTGGACAAGCTAAAAATTAAAATAAAAGTTGTGTCATTGATATATATCTTTAGCAGGTTTTTAATCCTTTACTAAATGTGACTTTAAAAATGTAAAATTATATTCAATTTCAAATTTTAAATAACAGAATGGCATCTTAACTAGACTTGGAATGGAGACCCGTAGCATCGCAAAATTTTAATCGAAAAGTTATCACTTTATAAAGGTCATTTTTATATTCCTAAAATTCCGCAGAAATCTGGATAATTTTTACATTATGAGGTTGACAGAAGTTATCACGTCAAGTCTGCAAAATCTGAACGTTCAAATTTTTGAAAGGCTGAGCAATCAAGGTTAGAACATATTAAAACAGGTTCGGCATTGTTCATAAAAGGCACGTTTTCGGAATAGATGGAGCAGAGAGAAGTGTTAAAATTCTGCGTAGACATCGGGAAAACACCTACAGAGACCCATAAATTATGTGAACAATCGGGAAAACATATAGTAATAGAAGCCGTTCTTTAGTATTTAAGTGGCATATAATATTTTCGGGCGGAAGGAACAGTTTACAGGATGACATGCGTGAAGGAAAATCATCATTCAGAGAATGCAGTGCTGTAAAAATTGTATCTCGTAACTTGACTTTGCCGCCGTATTTCCGTAAATACACAAACTCTGACCACATAAAACACAAACAATATGTAACCCATTACCCATGGACACAAACTCTGACCACATAAAACACAGACAATATGTAACCCATTGTTCATGGACACAAACTCTGACCACATAAAACACAAACAATGTGTAACCCATTACCCATGGACACAAACTCTGACCACATAAAACACAGACAATATGTAACCCATTGTTCATGGACACAAACTCTGACCACATAAAACATAGACAATATGTAACCCTTTACCCATGGACACAAACTCTGACAACCACATAAAACACAAACAATGTGTAACCCATTACCCATGGACACAAACTCTGACAACATAAAACACAGACAATATGTAACCCATTGTTCATGGACACAAACTCTGACCACATAAAACACAAACAATGTGTAACCCATTACCCATGGACACAAACTCTGACCACATAAAACACAGACAATATGTAACCCATTGTTCCTTGACAAAACTCTGACCACATAAAACACAGACAATGTGTAACCCATGACCCATGGACACAAACTCTGACCACATGAAAACACACAATATGTAACCCATAAAAACCCATAAAACTCATAAAAGGGACGTTTTCGGAATAGATGGAGCAGAGAGAAGTGTTAAAATTCTGCGTAGACATCGGGAAAACACCTACAGAGACCCATAAATTATGTGAACAATGGGGAAAACATAGTAATAGAAGCCGTTCTTTAGTATTTAAGTGGCATATAATATTTTCGGGCGGAAGGAACAGTTTACAGGATGACATGCGTGAAGGAAAATCATCATTCAGAGAATGCAGTGCTGTAAAAATTGTATCTCGTAACTTGATTTTGCCGCCGTATTTCCGTAAATACACAAACTCTGACCACATAAAACACAAACAATGTGTAACCCATTACCCATGGACTCAAACTCCGACCACATAAAACATAGACAATATGTAACCCACTGTTCTTGGACAAAACTCTGACCACATAAAACACAGACAATGTGTAACACATGACCCATGGACACAAACTCCGACCACATAAAACATAGACAATATGTAACCCACTGTTCTTGGACAAAACTCTGACCACATAAAACACAGACAATGTGTAACCCATTACCCATGGACACAAACTCTGACCACATAAAACACAAACAATGTGTAACCCATTACCCATGGACACAAACTATGACCACATAAAACACAGACAATATGTAACCCATTGTTCATGGACACAAACTCTGACCACATAAAACACAGACAATATGTAACCCTTTGTTCATGGACACAAACTCTGACCACTTAAAACACAAACAATGTGTAACCCATGACCCATGGACACAAACTCTGACCACATAAAACACAGACAATATGTAACCCACTGTTCATGGACACAAATTCTGACCACATAAAACATAGACAATATGTTACCAATTTTTCTTTGACACATACTCTAACCACATAAAACATAGACAATATGTTACCCATTGTTCTTGGACACAAACTCTGACCACATAAAACACAGACAATATGTAACCCACTGTTCATGGACACAAACTCTGACCACATGAAACACAGACAATATATTACCTATTGTTCATGGACACAAACTCTGACCACATAAAACATAGACAATGTGTAACCCACTGTTCATGGACACAAACTATGACCACATAAAACACAGACAATATGTAACCCATTGTTCATGGACACAAACTCTGACCACATAAAACACAGACAATATGTAACCCTTTGTTCATGGACACAAACTCTGACCACTTAAAACACAAACAATGTGTAACCCATGACCCATGGACACAAACTCTGACCACATAAAACACAGACAATATGTAACCCACTGTTCATGGACACAAATTCTGACCACATAAAACATAGACAATATGTTACCAATTTTTCTTTGACACATACTCTAACCACATAAAACATAGACAATATGTTACCCATTGTTCTTGGACACAAACTCTGACCACATAAAACACAGACAATATGTAACCCACTGTTCATGGACACAAACTCTGACCACATGAAACACAGACAATATATTACCTATTGTTCATGGACAAAACTCTGACCACATAAAACACAAACAATATGTAACCCATTACCCATGGACACAAACTCTGACAACATAAAACATAGACAATGTGTAACCCATTGTTCATGGACAAAACTCTGACCACATAAAACACAAACGCTGTGTAACCCCATTACCCATGGCTAAAAACTCTGACCACATAAAACACAAACAATGTGTAACCCCATTACCCATGGCTAAAAAGTCTGAGCACATAAAACAAAGACAATGTGTAACCCATTACCCATGGACACAAACTCTGACCACATAAAACACAGACAATATGTAACCCACTGTTCATGGACAAAACTCTGACCACATAAAACACAGACAATATGTAACCCATTGTTCATGGACACAAACTCTGACCACATAAAACACAGACAATATGTAACCCACTGTTTATGGACAAAACTCTGACCACATAAAACACAGACAATATGTAACCCATTGTTCATGGACACAAACTCTGACCACATAAAACACAGACAATATGTAACCCAGTGTTCATGGACAAAACTCTGACCACATAAAACACAGACAATATGTAACCCATTGTTCATGGACACAAATTCTGACCACATAAAACATAGACAATATGTTACCAATTCTTCTTTGACACATACTCTAACCACATAAAACACAGACAATATGTAACCCATTGTTCATGGACACAAACTCTGACTACATAAAACACAGACAATATGTAACCCAATGTTCATGGACAAAACTCTGACCACATAAAACACAAACAATGTGTAACCC